AAATTTGATTGGTTAAATTTGAAGGTACGATATTTTATTTAAAATTTCTTTTATATGGTTTTAACATGTATTAATTTTGTAGGTCATATCGACAACGATCTGAGGGCTCATTCGGGAAAAGTTACGACGTATTGTAACTTTTCTAGCTATGCGACAGTACTTGAGGGGCTGGACGATGAGCATATTGACTTACTCCGTCGATCGTTTTTATGGTCGTTCTATCCGTTGAAGGACGTGCAGTTCTCTAGACAGATTGTTGATTCTTTATTACTCCGACTGCTTAAACCAGTCTATGGCGATCAGTTATATTTTGCTATTGGGGACGGGAAGGTATGTAGATTCTCGATCCTTGAATTTGCCCTGATTACGAGCTTGAGATGTACCGGGGAAGAAGAAGCTAGAGCCCGTATTATACGAAATAAAAGGTTATTGGATTTATATTTTGGAGGTAAAGGGCCAGTTACACCACCACAGTTAGAGGACGCATTTAGGAAATGCGATCACATGTTAGACAAGTTGAAGTTAGGGTTGGTGTATATACTTGAGAGTATATTGAGGTGTCGACATCGTAGGACGTCGATTGATCTTTTTTCATTGAATGTTGTTGATGATATCGATACTTTCAACAGCTTTCCATGGGGTCAGAGATGTTACACCGATACTCTCCATGTATTCAGAAGGGTACACACTATGTCGAAATCGGAGAGGGGCGATCGCAAATATGATGTATATGGCTTTTGCATGGCTTTGCAGGTAAATATTCAGTGTAACGTAATGCATGTTAAACTTTTTTATTAAATGTATATGTAAAGTTTTATTTTGTAATTGTTGCAGTTGTGGGCATATGAGGCTATCCCTGCTTTGGGTAGCAAATGGGCGATCAGAAGGGAGACTAGCTGCCCACGAATGCTTCATTGGCGAGCACATGAAAAGCCATCGGCTAAAGATTTGATAGTTATCCTCGACGATCCTCAGGTGAGTATTATATATTTGCAATTTATATTGTACATACATCTACTCGGGTCGATACATGTTCGTTAACACGTTGAAATATGGTATGTCAGCTCGAAGTTCATGCTGAGTTGGTTGTCTCGGTGGAAGAGGAGGATGCAATATATGTACGTGAATTACTTGTTCCCCCTACTGAAGACGATCCAGTATTTGAGTCCGTTCCGGATAGAAATATAGTACGTTTATTTAAGTTCTTTATTTATTTTGACTTATAAATTCATGTGTGGATTATTAATATTAATTGTCTTCTCTGTGTAGGAGCGCCATCCGGAACTTCCACTTAGGAGATCTCCTTCGCCTCCACCGATGAGATCTCCGCTACCTCCACCGACGAGATCGTCTCTACTGCCATTATCTCATTCTCCGAGGATATCCCCCTCTCCCGTACCCACCCACCTCCTACATGGATCGCCTACACCCAGTCAGACCCGTCATTCAGATGATTTCTTTGCACGCATGACTGGCATTATTCGAGAGGAGCTGGGAACGATGCGACGTGATTTTATGACAGAGGTAGTCGCATTACGAGGGGAGATAGGGGTATTGCGACGGGATTTTACGACAGAGATCGTCGCAGTACGAGAGGAGATAGGGGTGCTGCGACGAGATTTTACGACAGATGTAGTAGCTTTGCGAGATGAGATTGGAGTGCTGCGACGAGATATAGGAGACCTTCATATTGAGGTTGCAGAACTTCGAGGCGATGTAGCAGGCGTTCGAGGGAATGTCGGGAAGACTGGTGTCCCTCGAGATTGGTGGGTAACGGCCGGGGGAATCGATGAATTTTTTGGTTCGGTGCCGGAGGCCGAGAGGGAGGGGGTGGAGGTCGGGCAGGAGGGGCCGGAGGAGGCCGGGATGCCCGGGGTGGAGGTCGGGCCGGAGGTGCCGGAGGAGGCAGAGATAGAGGGGGTGGAGGGAGGAATAGGGGTGGTCGAGGAGGTAGCGGAGGGGACATCAGAGGTGGTAGTAGAGGGGGATGATCAGGTTGCGGAGGATGAGAGGACGCCGGAGATGATGGATGACGAGGTAGTATTCGTGTCCGAGGGGGCGACGGAGGTCCCCAAGGGTAAGAAGCGTGCTGCTGACGCGCCAGAGCTGATGGTCGGTAAGAGATCAAGATTGCCGTCACAGTACATCGTTTCTCCCTACACGGTCGAAGCGAAAAGAAGGGGATTTGTGGATGGGGCGTACCCCAATCTTTTTCGCGACGTCGACCCAGTCAGACAGAATGCGTTCGATGATTGGTTCAAATCCCTTAAGTCCGAGTAAGTATTTTATGATGTTGCTACTATTTTTTTGTATCTTTGGTAACTGTTTTTTCATTTTTCAGAGATAGTTATACCATCGGCTGTATGACCGTGCCCAATGCTAAAAAGTGGTTTGAAGATGTACTGACGACCTCAGCTTGGCTCGCTGATGATGTAAGTTTTTTGAGTTTCCGTTTATTATATTTATACAAGTTGTTGGTTCATTTACTTAAATGACTCTATCTTTTTTGTTGGTATTTTTTTGTTTCAGCATATCGACTTGGCTATGGAATTGTTACGCGATCGGGCGCGGAGATACCCGAGATCTTATGACAGTCCTACTCGAGTTATCTTGAATGCTGAGTTCGTTCGTGTCGTAGATATTGAGCATCAGGAGCTCCTAAGCAAGGGGAATGATTATGTTCTGTCTGAGTACATGCTGGAGTGGGTGATTGGACTACAGTTGAGGTGCAGAAAGCCGTGGACGGATTGTACACATATGTACATTCCAGTGATCGCGAACTCACACTGTTTTTCGGTGGAGATCGTATTTGCTGATTCCACCATATATGTGTACGACTCTGATCATAGCTGTCTGACACAAAGTCAATTGGAGCAAATACTGGAGCCATTGGCTGTGATTGTGCCCATGATGGTTAGTCATGCGATGATTCGAGTAAATGATAGATTAGCCATTGTGCGGAACACGACGACTGCGAGACAAGAAAGATCGTAAGGATTTACAACTTTTAAATTTTCAGATTTAATTTTCAATTATATGTTATGGAACTAATATCTTCTACTTCGGTTGCAAGGGTGACTGTGGCATATTTGCAATCAAGTACATAGAGTTCTTGAGCATTGGTCGCAATATTGATACAACAAATCAGTCTTGGATTGATATGTGGAGGCATAAATTAGCTTGCGACTTGTATGAATATAACTGTGATCCTTAGTACATTATAAATTATTTTATTAAAATATAAATGTTGTTTACTTCAGTAGGATTCGTGTTGTACTGAAAGAAATAAATAATCGAAATAGAATATATTGTATGATATTATTTTGAAAATTTAAATGATAATCGGGAATTAAATGGATTAAATCGGAAGCAATTGGAAAATAGTAAAAGGAAAAATCGAATAAATATTATTCAAATAAACAATCAAAATAGAGTAATTAAATATGAAATAAATAAGATA